ATCATGCTCAAGATGGTGTCGGACAGGCTATTCAGTGCGACCCATTCAGTCCAAAAGGGGGTTCTGGGCCTGGCTCCGTCGTTCCTGCCTCAATACATGCGAGGTGTCTGAAAACTGCGACATAAGCACTGGAGTCCATGCCTGCGACCAGCTGAAACCTCGGTCTTGCAGGTGCAGGACCAGGCATGGTGTGGAGTCCAGGGCTTATGCTGCAGTGTAGACACCTCGCACGTATTAAGGCAGGAACAACAGAGCCAGGCCCAGAGCCCCCTTTTGGAGCAAATGACACCATCTTGGGCGCGATCGAAGCACACGCATTGTATGCGCCGTTCACGGAGGGACAAGCGACAGTTGGGACCTACGAACGGCGCCCGTCAGAGTACATCAGGTAGCTTTTGCATCTGTGCGATACAGAGAAGAAGCCAACATGGAGGTTCTCCCGTTGAATAACGGAGGGCGAATATACCGCTTACATAAGCCGGGATAGTTCCTCCTGTATCTAACAGCTAATCGAGTTCAGTTGGCTAGTGATTTACCTCACCTTCTCACTCGATTGTCAGGATCGCCCGACCTGAAGAGCTCACAAGCTGGACATTCAGTTACAAACTATCCATGCCAATATTTCTTTCCATCCAAATGTGAACTGGATGCGACACCAACAATATCCCAGTATGCCAGCAAGCTTGGGCCAACGAGGCCCATCCACAAAGCTAGGCTGTTTACAAATCAGCGATCTCAAGCCGCGTTTTGGCATTCGTGAACTCCCAGGCGGGGATCCTCGATGTAAGTGTTGTCAGGATTGTGAAACAATTCCATACTAACACATGCCAACGCATTAATGGACTCAGAGTCGAAGCATGCCCCAGACTCCTTGAGCAGTTCAGAGCAGTTCCTCGGGAGTCGAATCCGCAAATTCACGTACTGGGGCCACCAGAATCGCAGCAGGGGCCCCAACCCCAACTCAGGCGGCACCACTTGTACTTTCTGCGCCCAGAGGCTGACTTGTAGGTCCTGATGATTCATCGTCAGGACACTCATCGTCAACTCTGCTGTAGCCTAAACTCCTGGTAAGCTGGGGAAACAGTTCTGTGGGTATATGCAAGATTTGTCTCATAGATATGGAATCTCATACCCGGAGTTGAGGGAACGGAAATAGACTCAGTTTCGAGTGCTAGAAATATGTAGCTGAATCGCCCCTCAGAAAAATCGATCGATCCTGTATGGTGGAGGCTACTCACCTGCATGTGAACGAATATACCATGCCTCTCGACTTTTTCCTGAGTGGACATATTCGCGGTCAGCTTTTGGACACCATTTTAGCATTCGAGACGCCGTAAATATTGGGTGTTAGGCATATTGCCTATCGCTCCAACCATCCGATTGGATCACAAACGCTGGTATGCTGCGTGGTCCCGGACCTGCCCTGTGGACTTATCATCTCCAGCACCACAAGCTGGCCCAACTCGTTTGCTGCATGGTAGGACTAACGGCGACGACGGCTTTCTGCGGAAAACTACGAATCCCGTTCTCGAAAGTTCCCCCATAAGTAAACGACTTTTCCATTCGGCTTGTTTGTCCGGCGTGTGCGCCTAAAGTTGACGATATTTTAACAGACAGGCTTCCTCGTGCACCGTACTTAGAAACATGCGAGAAGCCTTCGACATTGATGCGGTGCGTACGCAATGATACCAGCCACTGCGTATAATGTGAAGAACTCAGGTCCATTGCAGCCCATTGATTTCACAAGGAGTGATAGTCAATGTCGATTCTCTTGGTAGCAAGTCCCGGAACAACACGAAGGGTCCCCGTTCCCAAACTGACTGGGATTATATTTTCCTTTGCCAGCAGGGGGACTCGTGTAATTCGTGTGAAGTTTGGTGAAGGGAACTTGGGGCCGTGAATCGAAGCGCCCTTCTTATTGCGATCACAACCCGAACCCAAGCAGTCGACTCTCTGGGCATTTTACGCGTCACGCCTACCCCGGCCCAAATTAGTGCCTGCACAAGACAAAGCCTATCTCTGTCACGCAAGAGATGCTGAATACTATGCCTTCAATCAGTCCCATGGATTAAGGGCATCAGCGAGGATAACACGCTGCACAGGTCGTTTTGTTGTTGTTGAACCGAACAGGCTCTGGGGAGGCATTTGTAGGAGACGCGCCGACATGTGACCCCAATGTGACCCCGACCACTTTTGGATCTCATTGATTTTCTGAATGCGACGATCATTGGAGTTACACATGTACATGACTGAAAACCGGTCGTTGAGCGTCCTCTCCCCCGTTTACATCCCCTCTTGGCCAAGGGGAGCCGAATAACTTGCATTACAGACGATTCAACAACCCTTTCCTGCCAGGCCCACAGGTAATGGCAATTCCTTTCAGGCCCAATCTCGAGGCGGCTGCTGGAGTAACCAGAATCGGATGGCCTATCGCTACGCACACAGCCTGGTACCGGCTTCCCCTTTGCCCAAGGGAACTACTAGAGATCGGTCCGAATAATAGAATGATTAGGAGTGCTTGGTGTCCACTCAGACGCGCGTCTTAAATGTGCAAGAGGCGCTTTCGCGTTTGGAGTTGGTAAAAACAGGTTACGACGACCCAGACGTGTATAGCTGGCCTCTGGATGAAGGGTCTTAAAAGTAGAAGATAGCACCTACTTCACATCGGAGAAGCAATACGACGTCACCAGTGTATAGTTCATTCGACAATTTCTGTCGAATCCGTTCCGGGCTGTCGAAGGGTGGAGTCACTGGCAGATGCCCCTCATCCCATTGATGGGCTAGGTTAACGTGGGTACGAAGGTGGACCCTTGATGCTCTCCCATTAGTAGGGTCCTGAATTATACATGACGTGTGCATGTTGCGCTGACTGCGACCCCCTGCTCTGGTGCGTGATCTGCTCACTCATCAACTAATGAGCACATTCAACGGCGAGCCGTCGAGCTTCCAATCGAGCGCCTCGTCTCAGCATAACAAGCGGGCAGTCAGTCGAGGTCGAGGTTGAGCACACTAGTCGTTGCTTCACACAGCCAATGGAAGGGGATCCTGCCTATGGAAGCCCAGCTATTTCGCAACTACCCATAGCCGTCCAATGGTGCTAGTGTTCGGTGTGCCCTCACAACGTGTTCCCCATCAGACTGACTGACAATCCAATCTGGCCCACAGGCTTCGTTCACTCACTAACAGTCCTGGACCTGGTCTACTGAAGTTAAGGTAGCCTTGGAGGCTCCCCTCATGCGGGTGTAGCTCAACGCGCCCGGTTCTCATAGCGCCTAGGAGGGTAAGTAAACACTTGAATCCCCTTAGTCATGCTGTGAATGTGTCCCTATCGAACGGTTGTTGCCGATGGCGTAGATGGTCGCAAGCGTTCGGTCGCATCCGCTTGGTGGACTGTGTACTGGTTTGATGTGGGTGGCGGACGCAACCCGTAGCATTTTACCCTCAGCGTTCGCCGTCGTGCAAACCTCGAAACCACAGAAACAAACCTAATCAAGGAGGACCAGCCCAAGAGCCTGTACGGAGGAACGTTCTGCCTTCTGATGCCAGAACAATAATGTGTGTGACCCGTTATGCAAAAGAATGGCCTTGTACTAGAAGGGAGTTCATGCCTCTACCCCTGTGTACACACAAGTAATTCCGAGATTATTTCTCCTGAGCTTTTTCTCTAGCTTTTCGAGTGGGATCGCCGTCGGCCTCAAAAAAAAGTCACCCCCTTTGTCTTCCCAACTTCTAACGCTGGCGACATTTCGAGAGTTTGCCTGCCTTTCATCAAGCACCCTCTTTGCGAACTAATATAGCAACTTGGACCCGTACCGTTTATCAATGAAAACCTTGACCCGAACAGCACAGACATGAACAAAGTGGGACGCTTTGCAATTCCGTATCAATTGCGCGGGCCCGGGAAGAAATTCTATCTTGGGAATCGGCTGCATGCTGTACACTGAATCGGGAATACGGAGGTCAAGATCTCTTTCCGCAAATCCTTCAGCGGTCTTCGCTTTGCTCAATCTCATGCGGGTTAGCCACATGTGCGTATCATGAAAGGCGATTCACGCTGGGCAAATCAGCACAGGTCCGGAGATTTCCCTTGCGGGGATGTGACCTCCAAAGGCGAGAACAAGACTGCTGAGAGTGGCCTAGTTTCAAATTCGGCAAAGAGGGGAAGGCGCCCGTTTTGCGAATCTCCCGCGCAAGCAGAGTGAGAATGATTTGCTAGGTCTCATGTTATTACTAGAAGGCTGTGAGAAGAAACCAAATATTAAAGCGGCTTGATGCAACCCATAGCCTTAAAAGAACCAAATCTCTGTTGCTGCATGCGAATCATTGCACTCCTCGGTGATAAAGGCCCCGACACGAATGGCAACTTGGACGCAGGTTGGTTTTAGGCCATACTTAGTCATGTACATCGAGATTGATCGGAGCCTCTGCTTGGATAATGATTCCCTTCCATTTTTCCTAGAGATCTAGATCGGTTTTTTAATGGGGAACTTACAGTTTTTGAAAAAGGACATCAAGGACCGTAACAACAGTCACTGGTACAATTTCTCGCTGTGCATGTGGCGGGTGCAACGTTTTCTCTTCGCCTCTGCTATCAGGGATGACATCACGGACAAGGAGTGGAAAGATGGATAATGAAACATCGAGACAATGAAAGCGCCTTGGGGCGCACAGGCGAGAGTACGCGAGCTGCAGGGAGGGATTATGGTTTGAAAGCTGCAAATCTATACTGATGGCAAAATCAAACTTGCGGAGCTGTTGATGATAAACGTGTCTGATTGGCCACCACTGGCGGGCGAAGCGAGACAGGGTTCGTTACCAGCAGCGTCGTGATCTATCAAGCAAAAGGAAAGATAACTATAATCGGTGGAGATACTGCCATGGAATAAATAAGTCGCCCGGCAAAGGAGTCCAGGAACGGGCGTGATCAACCGGACATGATATTACCGGAGTGCTGTAGCATTGTGCCACGCACCAGGTTGGCGTGATTACGCATGGCACCAGTCACTAGCGCATGGAACCAGAAGTACAGAAGCCCAGTCATTACGTGTGCGAAGTAACTTCTGTAGCTCGGGCCTATAAACGTCAATTGGTCTATATTAGCCGTGCCAGTGAATGTACTGCATGGCGACTAGGTATCACTTGTATATCAAAGCCCTTCCTATCTAGCGCAAATTTTGCAACCAACCGGGGTGCAACTCCGTAATCACCATGCGCTTCCACGCTGCACGCTGCATGCATTGGGTTACCTGGAACCAGGAACACGCTACGGCTGTTTATTGTAGCGAGAAGACATGCGTGCCAGGATCCTCCTATTACCCGAGAACGTAACCTTGGAGCAGCCAGACTCATAATCCGTGTTCTGAACAATTGCGGACGCAGTCCGAGCTGGCCAAACATGTGCACAGGAAGAGAGAGCTCGATTCTGCCGAGGCCAGTGCCTCGGCAAGCACCATAAAGGACGTAAGCCTCGTGTAACATCCCAACATGCATGGAGTTCGATTTCGATCCTGTCACTGTTACCGTGTCAGTAATGCAGCGTGGCCGAGACATTCCTACATTAGTCCAGCTCCAGCCAGTCGTGTTCTACATTCGAGACCGCAGCTCCTCCCGTGTATGCAACGGACAGGGGCTGGGATTTTACCCACGCACGGCCAATCCCATGCAAACAAATGATAAGATTCGCATCCTGGTGCGAGTCCTGAAGGAAGCCCAACTTATGAAGTGGAGTGCTTGACCGGTGACCGCGAAAGCAGTGCATGGATTGGGTTGTGGTTTGGCTATGTCATACATGGAAGACTATTGTTACAACTGAACATCCTGTATTTAATCGGAAACATAGCACAAAGAGAAGATATCAATCGAAAGCTAAATGAGAGTAACTGGAGATGATAAAGATGATGCATTGTGTTGCGATATGGCTGAGGAAGGTTCGAATGGGTGATCTGATGACGAAAGACATTGCGAGGTATGTTGTACACGGTATGCACGACGAGTTGGCGAGGAGACCACAAAAAGTTGCTGAAATAGGTAGGCAGGAGACGGCGAAACTGTTTGACCCCCAGTCATGGGAGCGAGAACAACAGGTGAAGCGAGTGATGGCTGCGGCTTGGAACGCCACATTTTTTTTTCAGATTGCACAATAGGAGCTTATACCGTGAGAGTGGAGAGTGCCGCACAATCAGCAGCTTCGAACATAATCGCACAGTGGGTTATCACTCACATAGTTACAAGTGCAAATTGCACGAAGAATCAAGACAATGAAGTGTCGAACGATACATATAGTGGGGGGACATCAGACTTTCAGGGTCATGTTATCTCGAAGCGGGAGCAGACCAGGAATTTATGCTTAGTCCAATAGGATCGCATCCTTCAATGACAGCAACGAGTACACTGATGTCTGAAAATTCGCACACGCGGCACAAATCAGAAATGCGTTAGCAATTGAAGCGAAAGTCCACGTCAAAAATTGAACGTACCATCTGCTTTCCCTCCAATGTGACTTCGCTTCTCTTCATGTGCCCGCCGGCCGAAAGGAGTTTCACCTACAATAGCACCTCCTTCGCTGACTTTCAGTGCTCGCTTGGCAAGTGCTTCGCTTAATCCCTTGACGTCTGATCCCCATTTAACCGCCTCCTCCAGAACGTCCTCATCCCACAAATTGTCACCCATACCGTCACTGGCAACAATTATAACATCTCCTTCCTGCACCGCGAGGTCCATACGTAATGCGTCCTTGATAGGTGTTGTCGTCGATTGGGGCCCAAGTTGGAAGGGATAATTGAATTTATGTTGCTGTTCGGAAGAGCGATACACTAATTCGTTCTTTCGAATTAAGCTTATGAGACAGTCACCAACATGAGCAATGCGGAGTTGGGGTTGGGCATGTGGATGTGGAGGGGTGAGAAGGATTGCAAGTAAAGCTGTCGAGGAACCCAGCGTTCCATCAGATTTGCAGAGCTCTAAAGTCCGTTCGTACGCCCTTTGAAGAATGTCGACCGGATTCGGATCAACCAACGATGATGGTAAAGGCGCAAGGACGGCGGCTGGTGTGAGGTAAGGAGGAAAAGTCGGTGGAACAGGTGGAGATGGTGGATACAGCAAGGATATCTCATGCGAACAATGATGCATCAATCTCCTCGAGAACAAGGCACTGTTTCCATTCGGTTTCTGAGACCAGCCGCCAACGCCGTCTGCCACGCCGAGTGCATTCTATAAAAGAGTGGCTTGGGTCAGGAACCAATGCGATAACAAGAAGCCGGTTTGAATGCGTGTGAAGGCACCAAGGAAATGTGGGAAGGATGTGTGGAGGGAAGGGAGTGGAAGGAGCTTACTGGGCGCATGAAGTAGCTATCATCGCCAACCTGCACTGATAGCTCGAGAGCTTCAGGTGATGTCTGTGCCGATGAACACGGTTCTAATGATGTTGATGTAAGCGCCATGTGCACAGGAGATTTCCCCCGGCATTTTGGAATGCCGTATGCGCCACTGTCAAGCCTGTAGACAGGCCTTGCCTGTGTGCGTTCCGCTGACTGTAGTATGCTAGGGAAGAAGGACGGGGTGACAGGAACCTGCGGCGGGAAGAAGATGGGAGGGATTGTCCTGGGAGAATTAGGCGGTGTCCGCGATGAACTGGGCTGCGCGGAAGAATGAACCGGAACTGGACTAGTGGAAAGACCCAAAGACGTCGCTGGCTGAGTCGACGTTTGGGATTTTGATTGTTGGGCAGATGGATATAATGTGAGAGTGGGTGTTGGGTTCAACCTCGGAGGGGCATATCCCGAATCGAAAAATTGTACAACAGATGAAGAGTTGACTGAAGATAACGCCGCCGTATACAGCGAGCGCATCCTCGGCTGTTTAACGACGGCCTTTGCGATATGTGCCTTCATCATTGCAGACGTCCAGCGGGGCACGGAAGGATGAAAACGACTTCACTCCGGAACGGAACATTCCGCCGTGAGTAGACGAGAGTCACGTGTACGTTCTTCCATTTGAGTGGCCGAAATAGCTATCGTACACAAGATGATAAATATACCATGAGCTGCAGCATGAGCGTGTGCTCATTGCAACATTCGAAAGTCGTAGTAAACTAGAAACTGCTTTTCTAGGTCGAGAACAGCGGTTAGAACAGAGGATAAAAAAACAAAAACAAAAACAAATTGACAACTGTAACAAAAAAAACGAATGACCCAAGTTGAAATAAGAACGAACGAAGAGTAAAGCTCTCAATCACAAAATTCAGAGACGTTCTCCTTCATGACGGTATTGGTTAGCGAGTGCTGAATCTGATCTAATAACAAGTGCCCACTCACCGGCCTCACGAAAGTTAACATGTGGCAAGTTGCATAAGCGCGCGAAAACCCAGCTTCAGCGTACGCAAAGAGATCTACGTGGTTTCAAGAACGGGTAAGTTACTTGTCCGCGGAACCCGCGTTATAGGCTATAAAGGCAACTTACACATCCACTTCCTATAAAGGATAGGAGAACGAATGATAAAATGGAATGAATAGTCATCGGGGAAAGGGTGAGGAATCAACTCACCTTCTGAAGGTTTCTAGATGTCTAGGATCCTGTAACTCCGGATACTGTTCCGATAGCTTCGGCGCTATCACGGAGTCGATCTTAGCTGTCAGGCGACGTCCCCATTCCCGTAACGTGCGCGGATAGTCTGTAAAGGACGAAGATGTAGGTCAGCACTGGCTCTGCCTGCGGAGGCAAGCGATAACTCACGCGTCGTATGCTGTGAATAAAGAAGGTATGATATTAGCAATTACTGCTTTGGTGATTCAATTCCAAAGCCACTAACATCTTCAACACTTTCTAGCGTCATCTTTCCCGAAGTGGCTTTATATGCAGCTGTGATGAGCGCCGTGGGACTTGGAAGAAGAGCTTTCGGCCAAATGTATTTCCTTCCAAAATCGGTTGCTCTGATGGAGGAGATATTAGTCTTCATTAGCTTGGAACATAAGGCAAAGAACGTACTGGCAGACAGAGTACCGGGACTCAGGTTGCGTGGTAGCAGAGATGACTGCTGCGCCCCGATCATTCTTCAGCGCCCAGTCAATGATGCTGAAATATGTCGTATGATATGCAGCTCCCTGAAATCACACACACATTGAACACGAGTCCGTGTGAAATGCGGAAAAAGAAAATGGGCTTACGGTGTGTTCAACCATCTCGATGCTCACGAACGCATCAAAAGCCTTGTGGAACGAATCCGGCAAGCATCGGTAGTCGAGCAGGTGGACCGTGATCTTGTCCGATAGTCCTACTGCTTCAATCCGCTCTTCAGCGAGCAATTTCTGCTCTGCCGAAAGGGTTAACGTGTCAACAGTAGCCCCGTACGTCCGTGCAGCCTGGAGCCAATGAACGTTCGAGTATGAGCAATGCACATAGGGGCAAGTGACAAGAAAGGAAATTATCGACCTCAATTGCCAGAGCACCCCACCCCGTACCAAATTCGAGAACACGATCACCCGGTCGAACACGCGCTTTCATGAGTACGTGGTGGATCTTGCGTAACTGTGCCGTCTCCAGATCTCGGATAGATGGTCCATATTCGATGTCCCCGCGCACCCCCCCCTCTTCTGGACCCCACAAAGCACAGCTGTACATCATTTCCTCACTTAGGAAAGCTTGGAAAAGATCGTTGGATACATCATATCCGGCACTACAATATAAAGGCGCAAATCCATTCTCGGAGTTGAGAGCAATGAACAAATGATCATGGTTCGCAGAAACTTACATGGCATTTAAATGAGCCGCTTCAAGGGTTTGCCCCAGAAGGTAATTCTTGAAACCGGACAGGACAGAGTACAGACGGTAGAATGGAGTTGCCATCGCCGTCATGGAATCACGGTTGTCCAGGTAAACCTATTCAAAAAGAAGCACGCGCGTGCTTCAGTAAATCAAAAAAAAAAATCGAGCGAACGGAACGTACATTCAGGACTTTCTTGATGTCCTCCAAATCCACGTATCCAAGCATGTACGCTTCAGCGAAGCCTATCGAGAGAGATGGTGTTGATCGACAGCACGTTTCCGACTCTGGCATGGACTACTTGCCTAAATCTGAGCCACTGTAGAATAGAAAAGATAATCAGAAAATGGTCTAAGAACACATCAAATATCGTACCCTAGCACTTTCCCCCAGAATCGTTCGTCCTTGACTTGGATAGCTACGCCACCGATGCAACGGCCGGTCTTGGGGTTACCGAAAGTATGACGAACAGCACCTCCCTCCTGGACGACAAGCTCTCCCTTCTTGACGCCCTGTTCAAGGACAGAGAGGAGATACAATCGGGCTGATGGTAAAGGGGATGAGCATAGGGTGCATGGGCAGCAGGGGATGAGGAGTGCGTGCCAAGTTCATTATAACACATAGTCATAGAGTGCATCAGCTTCGAAATCATTTGAGAAGACGGAAAGTGTTGAGGATAAAGGACTAGAGCGGGGGGGGGAGATGATGAATAGCTTCATATTGCCAGGCGGGAGAGGATTTAAGTAGCTGATCCAGCTCTCTCGAGTCCCCATCCGAAAAAAGGCGGCCTTATGTCAACAAGGATAGCAGTACTGAGTAAATTCATTGGCTCGCTGGATTGAGTAAGGGTCCGGGAATCAGTTGTTAGCTCTTCCCAAGAGTGGTTAACTCGAGCTCAAGGTTTGGATCACGGCGAAGGGCGAAAACAGCAGTCCCAACCGTTACGTGACAAGCGTGACGATTGCATGAAATAAATCGCCAGAAGGTCGCTAACGTCGATGAATCCTTTGACTCCAACCCTGGCCGAAGCATGAGCTCCCATGGAAAGCGATTGTACCTTGCTGTAGGACGTTGGAGAACTCAACAACTGTAACATGTGGCTGACCGAGAAAACTTCTTTTCTCCCGCACTTTTTACATGGAATTCTGCCGAAACTAATGATCCAGAAACGACTGAAAGGCCATGCTGTTACAAAATTACCATATTAGGAAACACTGCTCCATTCTTGCGCCTTTGTCTCTCCGAAAATTCGTTGCTTCAAAACACTGATTACGACGAGGTTGGATCCCTGATAGTATTGCAAATCAATTACGAAAATTGTCGTTCCGTTTCTGAGAGTGCCTAAATTGTACCAACCAATCATTATACCTGCTTCCACTAAAGCGTATGTGCTGCTTTCCGACTTGCAATTCATGCAACTAGGGCTCCCCCTCCCATTAATTCCCGGCTAAAAGACCTGGACAACGACGTCGAGCGGTTCTGTTCGCCTCCAGGTAAATGAAACGGTCCGCATCCTCACGTTCGCATGTGCAATTGAGCCCCACTGATCGGTCACTTCTCATGGATGTGGCATCTTATTCTCTTATACTGCCTGCTTGAAATGAAACGCCCTCATTCATACTTGATGTTATCTGGGAGTGTGTGTGACTCTGATGGCCTTGCGCTGCGTGATCCAACCGTGCGATAAATCCGATGGGGGTCCCTCATCCCACGAAGCTTCCTCCCTTGATATAAGACGATATCTGGATATCGCAGATCCAAATCGATGAGGTCACAAGGAAAATGGTATCATATCGGACCACGATCAGAGAAACATATTAAAAAAACATGGACAAAGATCTGAATCTTCAAGGTGAGGACATCGCACCGGGCGCTACAAGTTGCATGCCCGCTTCTGGAAAATTGAATGTGACACCTAATTTCAGTCCAAGTCGGCCAGCTTTTCTGGTGCCACATCGTGAACGTTCCATATTAAGTTATCCCCGCCATTCCCATTCACTTTCGAAGACAGGAGAGCGTATGAGAGACTCGGTAAATAAGAGGAATCGGAATCGTTAAGTCCTTCGTCGCTGGAAATATAACGGTCACAGTCAGCGAAAACACAAGCTGAAAACCCGCAGACATCACAAGCGGTTACAAATCAGCCGCGGACTCCTTCCCACAGGCCGTGCGATAAACCGTCCATGATGCTGGATGAGTAGTAGCCAAACAAATGTCAGCGGAGCGATAACGCCATTACGCAGATTGATGGTGACGCCATGAATGTTGTGCAGTCCGAGCGGCGAACACCGGTTCGCCACGGAACATAACGCCGGAGCAATTTAATAAGGCTGTCTCTAGCGCAATGAGGGCGTGTCAGCTACCCAAGATACAGCGACAGATTTCACCTACTTTGATTTACCAGGGCCGAAACAACTAGAATGTCAATCAAGGGTCAAGTTTCTCCCCACGCGCCAATAATCGTATCTTCGCCGCACCACCGATGGCGACTGGGCTGTTGGTGTTCAGACCATTCTTTACTTTTTCCACTAGCCCACGACTTTCATCGGCGGAAGAACGGCCACCTCGCCTGTGATGGCCACCGTATTCCGACGTGGAGCTCTTGTGTCTGTCACCACGACTTTCCTGACGCTCAGACGCCCCTTGATCGATTTGAAGCAGGTTCAATCCCAGTTTAGGGGCCCAAAGTCGGAGAAGATCGCCCGTTGTACGCGGAAGATGTTTGATCACTGAAGAATCCTGAGTCTCGAGCGCCGCAGGACTGAGATTGGGTTTGATGATAGCGAGAGCCACTCGGTTTGGTTTCTTGTGATGAGCTGGACCACCCTCGGGCAGTGGGGCAGAAGCAGCGAGGGTTTCCCAACCCGTGCAACACACGATCTGACGCATCCATTCTGGTGCATGTTCTTGAGACGGCAATGCGAAGTCACCGGGTGTGTCTGTTGTGGCTTGCTCAGAACTGGCCCCCGTTGCCCGAGAATATAGGTCGTCCCATGGAATGAATTGCTCGTCTCCCTGCACACGTATTCGTGGATTAGTGCCTACTTGCGCCTCCAAGAATCGGGACGCGGCGCGAGCATGGATGGCAATGGTTGATCCGCCTTTCTTCAGTAAGTCAAGTGTATTCAGAGCTGCCCTTGAAGAATCAGTCCTGTAACTGGAAAGAGCAATAGGGGCACACCTTCTAGCGGGATCACAAGTATCTCCTTCCTTTCTTCCTTGCACCAACGCTTAACCTGACCGAGGGCATGGACGAGAATACTCGCATCGAGGATGATGATATTGGCCATTGCGGTCCTCTCGCGCTCTCTTGGGACAATCGGCTTGGCATCGGGGTCCGGATGGAGAGTGAAAGACCTCTTTCGTCCTACTTGCGCATGCTCTTTGGGGGGAATCAGGACCGGAACACCACTACTGCCGCCACCGCGGACGTTACTGCGTGCTACCGGGTTTCCCGCGCTGCCACGAGCCTGAGAGTCGGGCCCAGCCCAAGGACGTCCACGACCACCACGGCCTCTGCCGCCCCTACCGGAAGCGCCAGTAAAAGCCCTATTCTCGAGCTGTTCAACTTGGTGGCCCAAAAATGCGGCGCCTAGAGCCTTGGACATGCGATCCTAAACAGCATTTTGACACAACCAACATTCAGCTTTCAGTAAAGTGGGCGCCATTTATTGTAGGCGCATACTTTGTTTTCAGAGATTTTTGTTTGTTCCGTCATCGACATCACCTCTACCAATAGGAGGAGTGCCGTCGATTCCGCTTCGATGTTTCTGGAGAATGTTCAAGTCACGAGGGAGGCTTGGTCGGCGAATGCCAACGCACTGCCACACCCTCTTCCACGGTCCACCAATGGCTGGACTTTCGTGCCAATCCACTTATTCGGCCAAGAGAGTTCTGGGACCGAACAGAAGTATCTGCAGGAGGGGGACTCCCGGGTCCCATTCAGCATGAACGTTGATTGAGAATCAACATCAAGTCTGGCAAACAATATGAATGCTCGTGCGCACAAATGTCCCGGGAATCAACCCCCTCGTCCGCTGAGACATGCATTAGCACTTCTCGGTTTTCACGGTGGCTATACCAGAGGGGAAGGGTTATCAATGCACATGACTTTCTAGTACCATTACATAAATACTTCCAGATGAATCGCACGCATCGCGAAAGGTTAAAAGGGTGCACGTACTTATAGACCTGCCTATGCACGTACCGCCAACCACAACGAATGTCGGGACAACCTAAGCGGGACCCGAGACTTATGGCAGAAGACATATTTAGTGTTTCTTGCCTGAGCCACAAAGTGGTTCATGGGCCGCTCTCGGTTGCCAGCGGGGACTCATATATACCTCTAAGCCTGCTCGGCTCACGGGCCATGAAACCGTTATCTCCACGCCTCGGTATCCGCTGTCTGACAAAGTACAAGCCCAGCATGCACCTGATGCTTGTGTCTCCACTGATACATAATATTGAGGCTGCGGTAATTCACACTCAATATCAATATTAATTGTTTCGCCTGTTTGCATGAGTGTGGGGGCCGTGGCGATCACGGGATACTGCAATTTGGAACACCCAGGGACGGTTAACAGGTGTGGCAAACATTTTTGAGGAAATCCGGTAGGCAACCAATGAATCGTGTATTCGAACCGTGAAAGCTTGTCGTCTTGCGCACACCAAAGCGGAACTGAAAAAGACGCTAGAAAATTCTGGAAGGGATGTAAATTTACGGCGGGGAATATGATTGACTTCCAAATGGACCGATTGTGCATAAACTTTCAGTGTCATGTCTATCATTCCTTGCCGTTCCTGAAGGAGAGATGTACGACGAAAAAAAAAGTTGAAAAATGATGGACATTGAAAGGACATACTGACCTGAACTCGCGGGCGGGGGCATTGTATGTCGGAATGACTATCTTCCCCCGGCGACGCCATCGCAAGGCCATGAGTTCCCTCCGATTGTAGCAGGTGACCGTGGGAAGTAAGATTGAACAATTCTCACCGGCGGCCGGAAAATAGGAAGTCTGGACTTGATGAGCTTTGTGGAAGCTTGAAGTATGTATATAATCGTGCGCACTTGGATTGGGCTCTCGGGCCGGAACGGTAGCTTTTATTGCTATGTACTAACGCTGTTGTGGAACTATGAGGGAGTCTTCTGTGGAATTGCATTGAACTTATCAAGGATCCTCCATACTCCATCGGTATGACAGAATATGGGGAGAACCGCCTTGGACGATGATTCAGCCGAGATACGACTCGGTGCATCAATGGACTTCAGGATGTTCCTCTCAATAGGCTCGTTCTTCCAACTGGGCAGCGAAACGCACCTCCACTTTCCATATCAGGAATTCCACAAATGTCTCGAAAGGATTTCGTCACTTGCACTGTGTCGAAGAACGGCCCCCTCACCCCTATCTCTCATACACATCCTAAACGATGAAAGCTTACTGGCAAGCCTGTCTGTGGATGCCGCCAACGCTTGCTTACACATTGCTACAGGTTTAACGAAGAATCGTTCGCTCAGAACCCCGATCAGAAGTTGGCGCATGCTTACTCCCCCGACCGTCCTGTTACATTAGAAACACTGAGGATCTCGGGTGTTCTCTACTGGTCGGTTTCGCCTCAAAACTGGGAGCCTGAGATTGACAGGATCGCCGCGGAAAACGGTTACAAAAACCGTGATGTTATCAATGTGACAAAAGAGGGTCTGGGGGACCTATATGAGGCCAAGCTCAAAATCTTCTTTGAGGAGTGAGTATTCTCGCATGTTCTTTGAGTGTTGCTGGATGTTCAGTGAAAGCCATTTTGCGTGATCACTTAGACATTTACATGAAGATGAAGAGATCAGATTTATCCTAAGTGGATCAGGTTTCTTTGACGTCCGAGGTAGGCAACGCACCTCAAATATCATGGCTCCACACGCTCAACCCTTCCTAGAGTTGAAGTCGGACGCCTGGATCAGGATCCATGTCATTCCTGGTGATTTGTTAGTCCTCCCTGCAGGCATTTACCACCGCTTCACTCTGGATGAATTTAATGCCGTCAAGGCGTTGCGTCTCTTCAAGGTGAGAAGCCAGAATTTGCGATGACATGTATGACGACTGAGTTTACAACGGCAGGATGAACCAAGATGGATTGCATACAACCGATCTGGAGACACAGATATCAATCCCTTCAGGGTTAAATACATCCAGGAAGCCAATAGATGAACTCCATGCTGGCATAACCATCGTAGCATGAAGGAAAGACCGTAGAACTATTGCTTGCAATCTGGGAGTGTATATAGATCGCCTGCTAACGATCAAATTGATTCAAGTTCTGATTCTTTCGCATGTCAATAATTCCCCCCTTCCGACACTCGTTCCCGAACTGTAAGGACTTAAGCATGGACGGACCATTCCACGTACTGGTGAGGGCTGAGTGGCAACTAGCGAAGGTATAGAAATGCAAGTGAGGAGCATCATTCTCACGCAGTACATCCAGTGCGGAAAGGAATCTTGACTATGAGCCGGAACAGATTACAGGTGCACACTATCTGTGGCGGTCCTTTTTTTTAAATCGGAGGGAGATCTTGAGTGCAAGGCAACACTACGATGGACAGAAATTGGAAAGGTACGGCATCATTTTGACCCCCAAAACGAGAACGCGAGTTATGGAAATAAATGGCCTCAGGGAGTTCGGGTGTGCAGTGACCATGCGTTCGGATCTGGGCCGTGAACCTGGCAATAACATTTCCCTTTCAGCTAACAGGGAGTCCGCTCCGTCATGCAGGTGCAGGCAGGCACCCTAAGGAGCTGGTACTCAGAACAACCTGAAGAAGCAAACCGATGAAGGGATCTCTGATATTCGCGTGATCAGCTAAGCGGAAGCAAAACTTACGCTTCGCCGCTTTTACGAAAACGTCCCGAATGAGCTCAATCGCACCAACAATGGCGTCCTCAGTGAATCTCTCTGGCATAGGTATTGCCAACTTGCCAAACCAGGTGCGTCTCAGCGTGTGCTGTCATGCCCATTCATTTTTTGTGCTGAAATCAATGGGACGACTTAGAGGCACAAAATTGTCGCGAAACGCGGAGCGCATTTCACCGTCATGGTAGTTGGTATGTAAACCACGATGTTGAAATGTGCACGAATCTCTTCAGTGAGCGTGCTTGCAATCAGGCGAGTCTGGATTGGGCAAGTCGACGTTGATCAACACTCTCTTTGCGACTGAGCTCTGCCCGCCCAAGAACTATTCTCGCCGCCATTTAAAGCAGCTCGACAAGCTTACTGAGGTACATATTTCCCGCTTACTCTTTCTAACTCTCCGAATTGCTCAGACATCGTTCCAACAGGTTGATATCATCAAGGCCGAGTTGGAAGAGAAGGCATTCAAGGTCAAGCTTACGGTCATTGACACACCTGGCTTTGGTGACTACGTTAACAACCGTGATTCATGGGCACCTATCATCGATTTCGTCGATGACCAGCATGAAATCTACATGAGACAGGAACAGCAACCACAGCGGGGCGAGAAAACTGATCTTCGTGTTCATGCATGTCTCTTTTTCATTAGGCCGACAGGACATACGTAAGAACACCTCGAGGTGGAATATTCGCCATATCTGACGTCTCCTGGTATAGATTAAAGCCTTTGGATATTGAAATCATGAAGCGTCTTGGGACTCGTGTCAATTTGATCCCTGTTATTGCAAAGGCCGACACTTTGACACAGTCTGATTTGGCTGTCTTCAAGCAACGTGTACGGTGACTCCCCTATCAAATCTCTGTTTTCACTTATAATTCCACTTGCAGATTCGTGAGGTGATCGCCGCCCAAGGCATTCGCGTTTACCAGCCTCCAGTTGAGCAGGATGACGAGCAGAGTGCAGACTTGGCTCGTACCTTGATTAACACGATGCCCTTCTCCATCATCGGTAGCACCGAGGACGTCAAGCTGGCTGACGGTCGTGTCGTCAAGGGTCGTGAATACCTCTGGGGGGTCGCTGAAGGTAATTTTGGACTGTATCCCTACTTTTGGCGAGCTCTGTTCATCTCTCGTCCACAGTCGAAAACGAGAATCACTGTGACTTCCGCAAGCTTCGTTCCCTGCTCATTCGCACTCACATGCTCGACTTGATTTCCACCACTGAGGAAATTCATTATGAGAACTATCGCCAACAGCAGATGGAGACTCGCAAGTTCGGGGAACCCAAGGTCAAGAAAATTGAAAATCCCAAGTTCAAGGAAGAGGAGGAGGCTCTTCGCAGGAGATTCACCGAGCAGGTCAAGGCTGAGGAAGCTCGCTTCAGACAGTGGGAGCAGCATGTGAGCACAATAAACTTTGGATTTAGGAGCCACTTTGTTCACATCTCTGTCTGATAGCTTATTGCGGAACGCGACAGGCTCAACAAGGATTTGGAATTGGCTCACAGTGCCATAAAGGGCCTCGAATCGGAGCTGGACAATCTTCAGCTTGGCTATGGGCGTGGTACTCAGCGACGATAATTTGGGGTTACATTATCTATTCTCCAATGTTTCGCTGAATTTCTTGGTCTTTACCCCTTCTACATTCCTTCTCCCAGACGTACATTCTATACCTATCCGATTCTCCGTACCGCTCCTTTGTTACCCTTGACCCCTTCAGTGCTTTTTAATGATATGATAAGTATTGGTTTGCGTGGATTCATGGACGAGTGAACCTTGCGGAAGCGACATAATCCTTGTTTGGTCCCTTAACTTTGTACGTCACCTTCCATTCACTGAGATGGATTCCAGAGAAATGGAACCAGTATGCTGCCACGTAAGTGTCTGGAGCGCATAAATGTTCTCCCACTGCACACCATCCCTTTCTCGTCTCTGCGACCCACGGGGCCCAAACCCCTCCCTCCGCACTCTCCTCTCCAGGAGGAAGGAATCGAAGAGAATGGAAGAACTTTTTGTCAGAAGAGTCGTCAAAGTATGCATCGATCCGGTCGCTCTCTTCGGAATAGTGATAACGATAGCGTCGTTGTGCATCGAATGACATTCCAGTCTCCGTCGTCAGTTTGCCTTGCTCAAGGTACCCATACTCCATCTTTGGATCATCGGCATCCATATCCATCACCCTTCGTCTGAAACTTGCCGTTCCTTCGAAATTTCCGCTTGGTAAATGCGAATTCGCACTTTCCAACCGACGCCTGATTTTCCACGACCCTTGCCACGCACTGTATACTGCTGCCGCCACCCATCTGCCTTTTTCAGCAGCAGCGAGGTCGCTCTCAACATCCTGGAGAAGTCGCGAGGCTTCAGACCTCAACGCGTCGCCTGCTATGTATTGTGCCGGAATGACGACTTCTGTGTTGCGGTCTGGCCACAACGACGAAGGTGTCAAGCCGAGCGTATCGCCAAGATCGTTGAGAATGCCGACATAGTCAGAGTGAGGAAACTGGGGCCTTGGGAACGTGTCGCGAAGGGCCTTCTCTGCAGACAAGCCACGGGCCAACTCCTCTGCAGTAGGTCCTTGCAATTTGCCTGAGAATACTCCTGCAACCCAATGTGACTGCAACATGACGACACCCATGTAAGGACCACGATACATTCCAATAAAGGCTGCATTAGGGAGTTCGGGATGGAAAGTAAGTCGGTGGGCGAGGAATGGGTGGTGAGTGTCCCGAGGATTGTAATCGATGACATTTTGGATTTCAGTTGATAGGTAAGACAGATCGGATCGGAACCCAGTGGCCATGATAAGAACGTCGTAGGGCTCGTCAATGATTTTGCCACTGGACAAGGTCAAGGCAGAACCGGCCACTGATTCAACGTAACCTTCCACCAAATCGATCGACTCATCTCTCACAGAGTTCAGATAGTGATCGGAGATAATGACAAACGGGCTCTGGTTGGGTTTGACAGACAACCCAGGTGCAATCAAACCTTGGTCTCCGCATAGGTTTTGGAAATACTGGTGCTTGGAACGCAGATCCTCCTCGGATGGAACCGTTGCTTCATGTGGAAACTTTCTTTTGGACTTCGAGAAGAATGCGAGATCAATTGGCACAAAAGTTGACGCGGATTGCCCACTCTTCAAAGGAAGAAAGCGGGGGAAGACGTAGAAAGGACGTGGATGGATATGTGTCAGCCTTCTCGTGAGTGGGGCTATTTCGCCGGCGAGCTCCGCAGCACTGAAAGAATCTCCGACGATGGCCACTCGTTTCCCTTCCACTTGAGAGTGTTCACGATAGTCTGAACTGTGCATGATTACTCCTGGGAATGATTGGAGGCCAGGTATTTCGGGTATACACTTTGTGCTGAAGAACCCCGAGGAAATTATCAGATAGTCGAATGTCTCTCGTTCAAGACCACCCCGTTCACTCTTCCATGACACTTTCCATCGCAAGTCCGAACGCTCGACGCCAACAACGGTGTGTTGTAGGCTGATGCTTTTAGGGTCTAGGCTACTTTGAGAGTATGAGGATATATAATTATGCATATCCCTTACTGCAGGAAAGATCGGTTTGATCGGCCAAGCGTGATCGCCAAAAGAGCAAGTGTGACGTGAGAGGTTGGTACGCATCGATTGACGACAGAAGGAGGACCCCGGGGACCAGATGCCTCCAAGAGAGGTGGATTTCTCAAAGATTCTAGGATCCAGCCCGGCCTCGCGGCATGCTTTAGCAGCAGAAATCCCCGACAATCCTGAGGATGGTGAATCAGAGGTCAAGTACGGAATCGAACTAGCGGAAAAATCCCGTGCCTGCGCCTTGGTGCCAGCTTGACGTTGAGCACTCGTTCGTGGATTCTACTGGGCAGAGGACGTACCTATTATTGCAACGGTTCTTGTCATCGTCACAGACCGCTAGCTTCCAAAACAGGAATGTGAGGCACGTGATTTTCCCAAGCGCCTGAACTGCGAAAAATTCGTTGAATAGGTTGTTGGCGCTCAATCGCCTCCCAAGAATAAGCCACCAAGATTATAGAACGTGCAGAGAAAGCATGCCTCCGATGAACGATGACCCTTTGGAAGGACTTGTACCACGATATGTGACTGTGAAGCAGGCTGAGAGCATCCTAGTCAGTTTCCATATTCTCCGAAGTGAGATTCTCCATTGTGCTGACTACGCATCTCAGAACGGAGACACTAATCCATTTACAAAGCTACCTTACACTTCCAAATATAAAAGGATTTTGGAATCCCGAAAAAAACTCCCAGTTTACAGTAAATTGGATGAACTGTATGACATGGTGAGCTGGAGACTTTATGTTGCTCATCTTCGCGGCACGCTCAATTCTACCACATTTAGCTAAGGAAGACTCAGGTTATGGTTATGATTGGGGAAACAGGTTCAGGAAAAACCACCCAGTTTGTTTGTCTTCTCTATCTACTTGTCAATTATTGATGAGTTTATAAAGGATACCTCAGTTTGTTGTATACTCTGATTTACCACACACTAGAGGGAAGATAGTGGGATGCACTCAACCCCGCCGAGTGGCTGCGATGTCGGTGGCGCGGCGCGTCGCGGATGAACTGGACGGTACGTGTCTCCGGGTTTTTGTAGCGCTGATCTCATAGCTATCTACAGTCCAACTTGGAAAAGAAGTGGGATATACCATCCGTTTTGAGGATATGACGGAGCCAGGAAAGACCTTCCTCAAGTATATGACCGATGGTATGCTGCTTCGAGAAGCCATGTCCGACCCCACACTCTCTCGTTATTCCACGATCATCCTTGATGAAGCCCACGAGCGCACCTTGGCCACCGATATTCTCATGGGCCTTCTAAAAGACATCGTACGGAAACGATCGGATTTCAAGTTGATTGTTATGAGTGCCACTCTCGATGCGCTCAAGTTCCAAACTTACTTCAGTTTGGAGCCTGGGAAGCTTGCCCCCTTGCTTAAAGTCCCTGGCCGCACATTCCCCGTTGAAACCTTCTATACGCAACAGCCCGAACCAGACTACGTTGAGGCTGCGATTCGCACAGTCCTCATGATACATCAAGCTGAAGAGCCGGGGGATATCCTAGTCTTCTTAACAGGAGAAGAGGAGATTGAAGATTCCTGTCGCAAGATCAGAATAGAGGCGGATGACCTCCAAAAGAACAACCCCAATCTTGTTGGACCCTTGGTTTGTATACCTCTGTATGCATCACTGCCTCCGATGCAGCAGCAGCGAATTTTCGATGACCCGCCACCTCCTGTGAAAGATGGAGGGCCTCCGGGACGAAAAGTAGTCGTTTCAACAAACATTGCAGAAACATCGCTAACAATCGATGGAATTGTGTAAGTACCCTGACGTTCAGCCTGCGAATCGCACCAATTGTGAGTCATTTTTCAGATACGTTGTTGATCCCGGTTTCTCGAAACAGAAAGTCTACAATCCTCGCATCCGAGTTGAATCTTTGCTCGTTTCTCCGATCTCTAAAGCGTCGGCCCAGCAGCGAGCAGGTCGTGCGGGTCGAACTCGGCCAGGAAAATGCTTTCGATTATACACCGAGAAGGATTTCATGTCGGAACTGGAAGAGCAGACGCATCCAGAAATACTTCGATCCAACCTTTCCAACACTGTTCTTGAATTGATTAAACTCGGAATAACCGACTTAGTGCACTTTGACTACATGGACAGTCCAGCTCCGGAAACGATTATGCGTGCTTTAGAGCTATTGAACTATCTCCGTGCATTGGACGATGACGGAGAATTGACAGACCTCGGGAGAATCATGGCAGAGTTCCCACTGGATCCTCAAGTCAGTCACATTGGATTTGTGACCCTTGCCACTTCTCACAATTTCGTCCATTAGCTTTCGAAGCTATTGATATCAAGTGTTGAATTTTCTTGCAGCAATGAGGTTCTAACTATTGCTTCCATGCTTTCTGGTATGTGGGCGTCCGAAGTAATCACCAGTGGTTGCTCACCCCCGTATGTCATAATAGCCCCAGCCGTTTTCATTCGTCCCCCCGACCGACGCGCCGAAGCCGATGCAGCTAAAGCCCTATTTACCATTCCAGAGAGTGACCATCTTACACTCCTGAACGTGTATAACAATTATATGCATAGTAAGCAAAGTATATCTCGTGATTCTCGTTCTATCTTTAATCATCTTGCAATTGGATAGATATGCAGGATAAAAAATGGGCATGGAATAATTATTTGGCTGATAGGGCGCTCACTCAGGCCCAAAACATACGGACACAAATTAAATCCATGATGGAGAAGCACGATATTGACCTTGTATCCACTACGGACCAAGGGAAACTTTACGTCAATATTCGGAAATCCTTAGTTTGTGCTTTCTTCATGCAGATCGCGCGCAAAGAGAATCAGCGAAAGACGTATTCAACAGTCAAGGACAACCAAGTATGTTCACACATGTCAATGCTAGTGCTAGCAAGGGGTTGATAGCTGTTCCAATAGCTTGTCCGATTACATCCTACTTGTGGCCTCGATTCGGAACCGGAATGGGTTCTCTTTAACGAATTCGTATTGACCGGCCAACCTTACATCCGTACGGTGACTACTGTACAGGGCGAATGGTAATTGCGCCACGGCACTGAAGGGATCACAGGAGCTTATTATTCACTGTTCTAGGCTGCTCGAATTCGCCTCCCAATACTTTGATCTCAAGACTTTCCCCGACGGAGAGACGAAACGAGCACTACAACGAATCATTAACAAGAGGAGAGCCATCGTCGTGAAGGACAGTGATGCCGAAGTTCGCGTCAAGAAGAGGAAGGCTGAGCATGACATTGAAAGTCCTGCTGAGACGAAGAAGCTAAACCGCTCTCACTAGAACTTACGGTGACGCCACAATCTGAAGCAGAACGCTATAACGTAGCAATCATTGGTTCAACATTGTAGATTGTTGCATCTTTCGCTTTTCACTTTCGTCTCCCATATCACCTATCCCATACATCCCAATATCCTCTAATCACATCATGGCACCCCAGGACATACATTTCTAACTCATAACCCCATTCGTCTGTGAAACTCAGTTTCCACGGTCCTCAGGTATCTTGAAATGATCATGTTCGTAATCTCTGTACTGGTTGACAATCTGGATGATCATTTCCCGCCTCTCCGAAGCAAGAAGCCCTCAGCCATGCATGGACACGTCCGCGCTAGTTCACACAATCCGGGGAACACCCCTGATTCTTAGCGGGCTTCTTGACAGCCCGAACCTGTGTATCTCTAATCCTCACTAGGGATAGTGTGTGCGGAGAGCGGTGACTTGTGCTCCAAGGAATTTACCTTGCACAAGAGGGAAGCTTCGCACTCTGCACAAAGTGCGCTAGTCTCTTATACCTCATTGAAGGTTTATTGGCATCCAGAGCTGGGCCAATGCACACTGGCATAACAGGCCTTCCGAAGACTACATAAGCTTAGGCATCTGGGAGCGAGGCCGGGTCGTTCTCAGGACCTTGATCAAGTCCTCCGTGGAGCCAACCGGTGGCAGAAACGAAGCTTGACGGGTCAATGGCGACTCTTTGGAGGGATCGTAGTGTGTTTGATGTCACTGCGGAAAAATCCCTCTGCAGTGGCGGAGTGATATTTTGGTTCAGGGATTGGCTTTTCTTGGGGAGGGTGAGTGCTCCATTGTCTCGAGTTGCCGACGTCCTCCCGCCACACGGCCGACTTCGAATAAGCGATAGAGAGGATTAGTATCGGAGCCATTCCGGAAAAATCGGCTGGTCATTTGGGATTTACCGAATTTCTCCACGGGACGCATTGTTCTTGGAGACCATAGCTGTTATCCCTCTATATATCTCATGAACTTCAAGTTTTTCCCAGATAGTGCCGAGATCCTCCAAGATAGATGCATTTTTACTTTTCCAATTTGGCATGCCCGCAGGCTGGCTACCTGGCTGCATCCCAAATTCTGCTCAGTAGCAATAAAATACCATGTCTCGGGAAGATAAACGTTTAAATTAAGGTTGGCATTGCATGGGTCTGCAGGCATGAACTTTGTCGATGCATGATCTTTCAATCCACCAATTGCTGCTTTGGCGTTCTCGAACCTCCCATGTAGCTGGGAAGGGTGTGGGTGTTCATCGCATGGAGAGTACCAATCATCGATTCCTCCCGTTTTTATGCGCCTCTACAGGTAGACCGATGGGTAGAAGCAGACCTGTGTTACAAGTTGACAGTTGGCTGTCGATAGAAAATTTATATGTACATTCGGAAGGGGCTTCAGGAAATAATACTGTCGTTGTTAAGTGTAGAGGTTGAAGGATGTATACAGTATTTGATTTTCTCTACGGATACAAACTGAATTCTGGGGTATTGCGTTCATGATCAGATCATTCAAACTGCGCTCACCACGTTCACTTTCTGGTATGAAGGCACCTTCCCGGATGAGGCGTCTCAGCGCTCGCTGATCGCTACGAATATCGAGTTCGTATTGTAATTGGGGTTAGATTCTGATGAATTGGATTAGCTTCCATAAGAGGAAGAGTTGAGTCAGATTAAATGCAATCGTAACCACGATCGGGTTGCACTTTTGTCTCCTCATAGGCCCATATAAGCGCTCCGAGATATGCCTCCTGCGGAGACCCTTGACCCTTTGGAAGGACTCGTGCCCCGCTGCGTAACAGCAAGGCAGGTAGAAAATGTCCTTGTCAGTTTTCATGTTCCAACGAGCTTCAGCGGGCTCATTGCGCATTTTAGGATGCGCGCATTAATCCATTTACAAAGTTACCCTACTCTTCCAAATATGAAAAGCTCTTGAAATCCCGAACAAATCTCCCAGTTTACGCTAAAATGGAAGAATTTCTTGATGTGGTAAATTGGAGACCTTATGTTTGCTCAGCTTTAGAGCATGCTCAACGGTTCCCTATACCTTTTCTAGCTGAACCATAACCAGGTCATGATCATGATAGGCGAAACCGGCTCGGGGAAAACTACGCAGTTCGTTGTTTTGTCTGTTTTACACATACTTAAATGGTTGACGAGTCGAGTCAAGAATACCTCAGTGGGTGGTTTATTCCGATTTACCGCACACTAGAAGGAAGATAGTTGGGTGTACTCAGCCGCGCCGAGTCGCCGCAATGTCAGTGGCGCGGCGCGTCGCGGAGGAAATGGATGGTATCCTGTGCTTCTAGATGGCCATGGCGCTTATCTCACGAGCATCTATAGTTCGACTCGGGAAGGAGGTGGGATATGCTATCCGTTTCGAGGATGTGACAGAGCCAGGAAAGACATTCCTCAAGTATATGACCGATGGAGTACTGCTTCGGGAAGCTATGTCCGACCCAACACTCTCGCGCTATTCCACGATCATTCTTGATGAGGCCCATGAACGTTCCCTAGCTACCGATATCCTCATGGGTCTTCTGAAGGATATCTTACGGAAGAGATCTGACCTCAAGTTGATTGTGATGAGTGCCACTCTCGATGCGCGTAGATTCCAAACGTACTTTGGTTTGAAGCCCGGGAGGACGGCCCCCTTGCTTAAAGTACCTGGTCGCATATTCCCCGTTGAAGTTTTCTATACGCAGGAACCAGAGCCAGACTACGTTAACGCTGCGATTCGCGCAGTCCTCACGATACACCAAACTGAAAAGCCAGGAGACATCCTGGTTTTCTTGACAGGAGAAGAAGAAATTGAAGATTCCTGCCGTAAGATTTGTGTGGAAGTGGATGACCTCCAGAAACACAACCCCGACGTTGTTGGACCTTTGGTTTGCATACCTTTATATGCGTCACTACCGCCGCTACAGCAACAGCGAATCTTCGACGAACCGCCGCCTCCTTTAATAGACGGAGGTCCTCCAGGTCGGAAAGTGGTCGTTTCAACGAACATCGCAGAAACCTCATTAACAATCGATGGGATCGTGTAAGTGCCTTGACATTAAGGTCACGAACTGGACTAACTTTGTCACTTTGCAGATACGTTGTCGACACTGGCTTCTCAAAACAGAGCGTCTACAACCCTCGTATCCGGGTTGAGTCTTTACTCGTGGCTCCAATTTCTAAGGCGTCTGCCAAACAGCGAGCTGGGCGTGCAGGTCGAACGCGGCCAGGAAAATGCTTCCGATTATATACAGAGAAGGATTTCATATCGGAACTGGAAGAACAGACGCACCCAGAAATCCTTCGATGCAACCTTTCCAATACCGTTCTTGAGTTGATAAAGCTTGGGATAACCGACCTAGTGCACTTTGATTATATGGATAGCCCAGCTCCGGAAACGATTATGCGCGCTTTGGAGTTGTTAAACTATCTCGGTGCATTGGATAATAGAAGTAACCTCACAGATCTCGGGAGAATCATGGCGGAGTTCCCACTCGACCCTCAAGTCGGTAAGATCGCGCTTACAATCTGTATCTCGTCTCACTTTTCATCAGCTATCCAAGCTATTGACATCGAGTGTTGGGTTTTCCTGCAGCGATGAGGTCTTGACCATTGTTTCGATGCTTTCTGGTAGGTGTGCGCCTGAGGCGATAATGACTCGTTGCTTAATCAGAATATCATAATAGTCCCAACTGTTTTTCTTCGTCCTCCTGATCGGCGTGCCGAGGCCGATTCCGCTAGAGCTCTATTCACCGTTCCAGAGAGCGACCACCTTACGCTCTTGACAGTGTTCAACAATTACATGCGCAGTGAGCACCATACACCCCATGAGATTCCCTTACTCATTCCAATGTATCGCCCTTGGGGGTAGATTTGCGCAATAAGCAATGGACATGGAATAATTACTTGTCCAATAGGGCGCTCAGTCAGGCTCAAAGCGTCCGAACACAGATCAAATCCATGATGGAGAGGCACGATATTGGCCTTGTGTCAACTATAGATCGACGGCAACTTTATATCAATATTCGCAAATCCTTAGTGTGCGCCTTCTTCATGCAGATCGCTCACAGAGAAAACCAGCGGAAGACGTACTTAACAGTCAAAGACCACCAAGTGCGTTCACATATACTCAGAGCAACAAACAAGGGATTGATGCTCGTTCCAACAGCCCGTCCGATTACACCCTACTTGTGGCCTTGATTCAGATCCGGAATGGGTTCTCTTCAACGAATTCGTATTGACTCTCCAACCGTACATCCGCACGGTAACCGCTGTGCAAGGCGAATGGTAACTGCCTCACGGCATTCAAGAAATCACACCATTCACTGTTCGTTTTACCATCAGGTTGCTTGAGCTCGCTCCCCAATATTTTGATTTGAAGACCTTCCCTGATGGAAAGATCAAGTGGGCGCTGCAAGAAGTTATCGAAGAGGGGACCGCGAGGAAGGACGATGATGTTAGTGGTCGAGGGAAGGAGGCTGCGGGGAAGGACGACGATATTAATGGCAAGGACAAGGAAGTTGTGGGCAAGGACGACGGGCTTAGTGGTCGTGGAAAGGAAGGCAGGAAGAGCAATAATCGCGGCAAGAAGGGAGGCGCGAGGAAGGACGCTGAAATTAGTGGTCACGGTAAGGAAGGAGTCCCGGGGAAGGACAATGCTGTTAGTGGTCACCGTAAGGAGACGGTCGCGGGGAGGGGTGGTATTAATGGCCATGGCAAGAAAAAAAGGGTGGTGGGGGAAGCTTGAGGTATCAGTGGTCGAGATGAGACGCGAAAGCTGTGATGTACTGTATCGCAATTTTCCTTTTTCCATCCTTGACCTTATTTAATTTGCCTCCCATTTTCATCCGGCCTTGCGACGGCACTGCTGTCAGAAGCAATGAAATTAATAGCGATAGCTGGAATGATCATTGTACATTATTCCATACGATCTTCTACTTTTCATTTTCATTCCCACTGAAATCCTACTATACTCGAGCTCGTCAACGTCTACTTTAAGGTTCTTACTAAGCGAGCACAAATTTATCCGGCCCATAACTCAAATCATCCTTAAAACCCAATGCCAGAGTCCTAGGAATCTTCCAGTAGCTCCGGCAGGTTTCTTAAATAAAGAGACAGCCCATCCACATATTTTACTTCCGAAGGTGGACTATGCTTCCAACCCTCAGACGCCCCCGAGGTATGGATTAAGATTACTGCCAGAGTGGTCGGGGACATGATGGGAAGTTCTGGCTGAGTCGTGCTTTGACTTCAGGACTGCCCGTGTCCCCGGGAGGAACGCTGCGGGTTTCCGACCGTACGTTGTCTCGAGAGTCAGTTACGGCATCTGGTTCGACCCCATTGGCAAGAATGGCTGGATGGGCATTAATCGAGCTACTCTAATCTTGTCTGATTTCCAATGTTCTTCCACATGATTACTTGGTGTCTGAACACAAGATCAAGCGCGAACGTTATCTGAAAAAGTTGATGGGTTCCCCTAGATTCCTATACAAGACCTGTGATTATTTGTTGAATCATGGCCATAGGACATGCGCATTAACCATCCATTTCATGCATTTGTTCATGGCGCAGCCAGAAAGAACCAGGCTTTGGGAGAGCCGCAAGATGCTTCAGCATGAAGTGAGTCCACTTCCCTTGGTTGTCCTGCGAACTTGCGCGCGTTTTGCAGCAGCAATCCTTACATATATAGTGCCACAGCCACGTCCCGAGATAACTTGTAGGTATCAAGTTCTACTAGGTTCGCATTCGCTGAGTTGCCAACATGTACACGTACACAATCCGGCAAATCGCCTGACTTGGGCCAGGCCAGTGAACTGGAAATTCAAACGGTACGTCGTTATCTGCTTTTCTTTCACTGCGAGAAGTCGTTTGGGGCAATCCTCACTCCCCTCTTGTGAGGGGTGATTGGGTAGCGAAGTCTCCTTCGCTCCATGGAGTCGCAATCTCTGTGTATGTACTTGAAGAGGTAGTCATCCGGTTACTGTCGGGCGCGGGCCTTTTCGCAAGGCCGTATTGATTACGACGGCCATGACGACCCGTAGATACGAAGGAATGTTCCGTTGGAGCGTCGAAGGGATTTGTCCTCCATGGATATGAACGACGTGCTTGCCATCGCCTTATGCCACGGAGCGCCTAAGATTGCGTCATAACGTTCGATGGTAACAGCATTGAAGTAGTGTTTGTAATTTTGACCTAAAATATTTAGGTCTACGTTGGTCCCGTAATGGATGCAGGACCCATTCCGCTTTGTACCCATTTGTAGCACAGGCGGGTTAGGAAATTCGAGCAATGGGACGCACGCCCTGACAAAATCAGAGGACGATGCGTCAGTTTTTAGCCCACTGTGGAAAAGAGTAAAGCTTTTCCCCATTTATTTATTTTTATTTTTATTTTTTTTATTTTTTATTTTTTGTGGAACCCCAGTAGCTTTCGCGAATACGTTGTATTTGGGGTTTGTGTTGGGGTCAGGTGATCCCCGGGAATGGAATCGGGCTTGGACCGGAACTGCCACGGTGAGGAAATGCGATTACGCACGCTTGTGTGGGACTCCCGGGCGCCCCCGATCACGGGGGTCCCCATTTATTTCAACGAGACCAGTTCAAGTAGCAAACCTAAAACATTCCCCCAGTACATCCCGCAAAAAATCACGTGTTTGACGAATATGAAAATGATGATATTTTTTGAATCCGCCAATTACAACATTGCGACATGAAGGAAATGAATAGTATGGAATAAGCCACCGATGAATATTCCTGACACATGAAATGGGCTTTTTCGCACTTAGGCATCGGCTGTTTCCACTTCACACAATGTACACTTTGCATACTTACATTAGACAAGGGTCACATGAGGAAAAATACATTTGTTTATTCGGCGATTCCCACTAATCTTAGACTGTATTGTAGTGGAGTTATCCGAATTAAATTGTTATATTGTCAGCCTGTCCAGCTCACTGTCTGTGCACCATGCTGGCCACTGTCCAGAGGAGTGTCAAGACTGTTTCCCACGGTCTAGACACACTTCACATAGTTGGATAGCCCCATTGAACAGCTTCCAGAATATATAATTTGAGACTGAATTGATGCATAAATTATCGAGAAAAATGCAAAATACTTTTTCGGACACGAGTCTGCAAATGCTTGTGGCTGTCCAAACTCACTGTCTGTGCACAATGATGGCCACTGTCCAGAGGGGTGTCAGGACTGTTTCCCACGGTGTCAACATACTTTACACCAATGGATAGCCCGTTTGGATAGCTTCCTAATTTGGGACTAAATTGACCAGTAAATCATTGAGAAAAATGCAAAATACTTTTTTGGACACGAGTCTTTTGGGATAACTCTGTGCTCATGCTGACCACTGTCTAAAGGGTGTCAGGACTGTTTCCCATGGCATCAACACACTTTACATCAATGAATAGCCCATTTGAATAGCTTAGACAGTGGTCAGCATGAGCACAGAGTTATCCCAAAAGACTCGTGTCCAAAAAAGTATTTTGCATTTTTCTCAATGATTTACTGGTCAATTTAGTCCCAAATTAGGAAGCTATCCAAACGGGCTATCCATTGGTGTAAAGTATGTTGACACCGTGGGAAACAGTCCTGACACCCCTCTGGACAGTGGCCATCATTGTGCACAGACAGTGAGTTTGGACAGCCACAAGCATTTGCAGACTCGTGTCCGAAAAAGTATTTTGCATTTTTCTCGATAATTTATGCATCAATTCAGTCTCAAATTATATATTCTGGAAGCTGTTCAATGGGGCTATCCAACTATGTGAAGTGTGTCTAGACCGTGGGAAACAGTCTTGACACCCCTCTGGACAGTGGCCAGCATGGTTGTCATGGCCGTGCATTCCGGCCCATTAGCCACCTGTCCCGATGCCGCCCGAGCCCATTACCGCTATGCAAGCGTAAGCGCGAGCCCCGACCTCAGCCCTATCCTCCCTGAGGACTCCCTGCTCACTCCCCTGCTTGCCCCTAGGCTCCCCTGCACCTGGCCGACTCCCCTACAGCCACACTAACCTCCCCACCCTGAGTCCGCCTCCGGCACCGTGCCCAGCACGACTCCCCTACCCCGCCCACTTGGCCCCTACAGGGCCACTATCATCCCTGCACCTGACTCTGGCCCAACTCCGAGTCCAGCGCCGCTACGATACCATCGCCGCTATCGCGGCCCTACGCTCTTTCCTTTATTTATCTGTTATTGTTTGTTTTGACCATCGGTCATTGCCGGCCGCTATGCGGCCAACCCCGCTCCTTATTCTTGTTTGCTTCCGGACCCTTCGGCCTCCGGCCCGGGTCCGCTTCCATTCATTTCTTCTTCCTATATATATCCTGTATGATACTTTATTGTACCTTAGCTCTAATATCGATGTGACCATGACCCCTAAGTCCTGACCCCAACAAGGCAACCCCAGTGAGTTCGAAATGAGGGCCAAGAGACAGCTAGGGGGCACAGCACTCCCTTTAGAGTTGCTGAGGCCAAATGCCCTACCCCCAGGCCTTGTTTGCGGCATCATGGCCATCGCGGCCTATAGCAGCCCACTAATGGCGACCTTCGGTGCCGACCCCGGACCAGTGTCTAACAATGGTGCACAGACAGTGAGCTGGACAGGCTGACAATATAACAATTCAATTCGGATAACTCCACTACAATACAGTCTAAGATTAGTGGGAATCGCCGAATAAACAAATGTATTTTTCCTCATGTGACCCTTGTCTAAATATGTTAAGTATGCAAAGTGTACATTGTGTGAAGTGGAAACAGCCGATGCCTAAGTGCGAAAAAGCCCATTTCATGTGTCAGGAATATTCATCAGTGGCTTATTCCATAGAATAGGATGCAAGCATGAAGACGCACGGGCAGGTGCCCGGGCACCTTGGGGCATTTAAGGGAAGGGAAAAGAAAGTTGTGTACAGTAAGAAGAAAATAGTGGATGAAGATTGCTGAGGCCAGAATAACTATTCATATAGATGAATTGGTTTGGCTTAGCGGCTACTGCTGTCTTCTCTTCAATTCTGTGTTTAGAGGGTTCTTGTCAGGGCATGCCTGCCTGACCCCGCGCTGCACCCTGCGCCGTACCGCACTACCCCGCTATCACTCCCCATCTCTTCCCCCCCACTTTCCCCTTTCTCTCTATCTCTATTTCTATTTCTATTCTATGGTCGATTTCCCTTTCTCTATGTACCACTACATACCTAACCCCGCCCCCCCAATCGCTGCATGCGCCGCGCACACTCCTGCCTACTGAGCGGCCACCTCCGGGATCTTCTGCGGAGACACCCAGGGAGGTGTGGCTGTGTGTGGAGATGACGTGGCTTCCTCCATGTGACCCTAGCCGCATGTATATAATAGTGCCTGGGGTGGGAACAGAAGAAGCAGCCTTCTTCTCAACTTCCCACTTCAGGTAAGTACCGTAGCTTTCCCCTTTAATGATAACCTCAACTTCCCACTTCAGCTTAAGTGGTCAGGGATGCTCACCCCATGACGGGATCACCACTACGCACAGCCGCTACTCGTCCCACCGAGTCCCGCGCGCAGGGACCTCACCGCTTTTGGAGCTGTCCCTGACAGTTCTGGTTCAAATCCTATGTGATGCTGTTGTCAGGGACAGCTCTGAAAGTGGCGAGGTCCCAGCGTGAGGGACTCGAGGGGACAGGTGTCGCCTATGCGTAGCGACGGTCCCGTTGCGGGGTGAGCGTCCCCGACCACTTAGTCTGAAGTGGAAATGTGAGAAGAAGGCTACTTCTTCGGTTCCCACTCCAGCTGTTATTATATACATGCGGGAATGATCACGTGGGGTGCGCCACGTCACCCTTGCACACAGCCACGGCTCTCCGGGTGCTTCCGTGGGAGATCCCGAGAGGGCCCACTGTGGGTGCAGGGCGAGTGCGGTGGTGGTGGCGGCGATATAGGGGTGTAAGATACAGGAGGGGAAATGGGCATGTGTGCCGGTGATACATTGAGCAGCGGGGA